GAATACCCACGAAGAAGAAGATCATTATTTGATTTAAGAAGCAAGCCTTGACCAGGATTAGCTTTTATGTACCTCAAAATTCGGATGACAGCTTCATATTGAGCGGTTGTTGGATTTTACATGAATTGAGAGAGTACATGGACTGAGTAGCTCAACTCAGGTCTAGTAATAGTTAAATAAACTAGACATCCAATTAACCTGCAGTAGCGTGCTGGATCCGAGAAAGGTGGGCTTTCTGTAACAGCAAGTTTATGGTTCGTTTCAAGAGGGAAGTCACACGGTTTGCATGCGAGGAGGCCAACATCATCTAATATGTCAAGAGCATATTTACGTTGGCTTAGAAACAGACCAGAGGAACTGTGAGCTATTTCGATACCAAGAAAGTATTTGAGGATCCCCAAATCTTTAATGTGAAAGCATGAGTGGAGGAAGGTCTTAACATCATTGCATATGGCTGCTTTGTCACCGGTTAGGATAATATCATCAACATAAATGAGAAGAGCAACGAAGTGACCATCCTTGTGTAGGGTGAATAAAGTATAGTCTGCTTTTGATTGAGTGAAGCCATATGACTCAATAGAAGATCGCAGCTTGGCAAACCAATTGTGAGGGGACTGCCGTAGGCCGTAAAGAGACTTTTGCAAATGACATACCTGATGCGGTTTGTGATTATTGAAACCTTGTGGAATTCGCATGTATACCTCCTCTGCAAGATCTCCGTGTAGAAAAGCATTCGTCACATCCAACTGATATAAGTTCCATTTCTTGGCCATTGCTACGGCAAGAAGAGTCATTACGCTAACCATTTTGGCTACGGGAGCATATGTATCAAAGTAATCCTCTCCAGCTTTTTGATTGTTGCCAGCGATTACTAACCGTGCTTTGAACCTCTCCACGATACCATCTGATCTGTACTTAATACGGTAGACCCATTTACATGGAATTGCTTGTTTTCCAGGTGGCAATGACGTGAGTTCCCAAGTATTATTGTGTTCCAATGCATCAATTTCCTTACGCATGGCTACACACCATCTTTCATCAGAAACTGCTTCGCGAAATGTTTTTGGTTCGACTCCAGCAGAAATGGCAGCAAGGAACTGTTGATGTTTGGGAGAAAATCTGGAACAAGAAACAAAATTAGCAATAGGGTAAGTAATACCTGAAGACAGACTGGATGAGGTAGAAGCAGTTGTTGGGTTATGTGCTATGATATTGCTGCATTGGAAATCCTTTAGATAATGTGGAGGATGACGAGAACGATGACCACGTCCCAAGTTCTCTGATGTATCATTAGGTTGCACTTGAGGCTGTTGATGGTTGACCAGCAAAGTGTCTGATGTGTTGCTGTGTGGTTCATTGGAAGCTGGTAAAGGTAAAGAGGGTTGGGTAGCAGTTGAAGTGTCTGATGTATGTGTTTGAGGTATGGCTAATGGTTCGATTGGAGCTGGCATATGGATGGATGGCTAGTCATCAAGAATGTCATCATGCACGGAAGGCGTTGGATTTGTGGATATGTCTCGGTCATCTGAAGGGATGAGTAAGGCTGGTTCGGGTTCAATAGGTATGGGTGCATGTGATGATAGGTGATGGATATCAACAGGGGTAGGTTTTTGTGTTTGCATTGCAAAAGGAAAGGTGTATTCCTCAAATACTACATCTTTAGAGACAAAGATGGTTTGTGTGTCAAGGTTATAAAGCCTCCATCCCTTTTTTCCAAAAGGATATCCCAAAAATAGGCATCGTATTGATCTAGCAGCAAATTTGTCCAACGGTTTGGGGCGTGGATGTGCATGGAAAAGACACCCAAATACACGGATATGATCATAACTGGGTTTGCGATTAAAGAGACATTCATATGGAGTTTTGCCTTGAAGTAAATGTGTAGGGGTCCTATTTATTAAATGGACAGCAGTGAGTACACACTCCCCCCCCAAAATTCGATGGGAAGATTAGCTTCAAAGCATAAGACACGTGCTACATTCAGAATATGTCTGTCTGTGCTTTCTTTCCACACGCCCATTTTGCTGCGGTGTGTCTACGCATGATGTCTGATGTATAATACCCATATCTGAATAAACTTTGCGTAGATTATGAGCACAAAACTCAGAACCATTGTCAGAACATATAACTTTAACAGTGGTGTCGAACTGAATAAGTACCATAGAAAGGAATTGAGTTAAATTTTGGTATGTTTCAGACTTAGTTGCCATTAAATAGACCCACACATTTCTGCTAAAATCATCCACAAGCGTTAAAAAGTATCTTGCCCCAGTTAAAGAAGTGGTTTGATATGGGCCCCATATATCACAATGAATAAGAGCAAAGCAAGAAGTAGTTTTATTAATGCTAATAGGGAATACAGTCCGAGTTTGTTGTGCTCGGAGGCATATATCGCAAGTGGAAGAAGAAGTATCCCTATTTTTATTCATTGCAACAAAAGGAAGGAAATTCAAGAACTGAAATGAAGGGTGACCCAGCCTACGATGCCAAATTTCTGCATTTTGTTGGGTCTAAGCAGTGCATGCAATAGAGATGGACGTGGAGGAGTCATGCATATAAACACCAACTTGCAATCTACCCAGTCTAGTCTTGATCTTCGTTGTGGGGTCCTGCAATTCACAGCCATTATGAGTGAAAGAAAAAGTGCAATTTGTATCAGTAAGTAGGTGAGCAACTGATATTAAATTGCATTAGAGTTTTGGAACATATAGCACATTCCGAAGAGTAATATTGGATGTCAAGTGTATACTTCCACATTGAATTGAAACAAGCTGATCACCATCGGGCAAACCTATGGAAGTAGGCTGAATGGTTTCGATATTTGAGAGTAGATGAAGGTTCCCAGTCATGTGTTGGGATGCGTCACTATCCACTAGCCAGGTATAAGGTGTAGTTTGCTTACCAGAAAGTGTAGTGGCATTAGCGGATGGTGCAGTGGAGGAGACTACCATGTTGGCAAGTTGCTGAAGAATCTCAGGACTCAAGTTGGAAACAACATTCAGATTTGACACCATAAGAGCTGTTGTTTGTGTGGCAGGAGGATTGGCTATGTTGTAGCGTCTGTCATAAGGTTTGCCACATCCCCTTCCACGGCCATAAGGAGGTTTACCATGAAGTTGATAGCATTTAGAGGCATACAACTTACCACAATGACTACAGCGAACAGGATCAGCAGTGGAGGAATTAAATTGTTGAGTTTCCCTTGCGACATAGCTAAGTGCATCACTGCGTACCTCATGAGTCTGAGCCATATGGAATTGAGTTTCTTCTTGCACTAACGTTGAGTAGGCTTTGTTCAGAGATGGGAGGGTAGGTTGATTGTGCAGTTGAGTGCGGATGGTGCCGAACATAGCAGTGTCCAGGCCTAAGAGGAATTGATAGACCCGATCGTCGGCCATTTCCTTTGTAATATGTTGTGTAACAAGGCAAGTTGCACCAAGAGGGCAGTCGGGTAGTGCTCTTGCAGCATCGAGTTCGTCCCATGCACCCCTGAGTTTTGTGTAGTACGTGCCTATAGAAGCTCCTTGTTGTCGCAGTTGAAAGATGTTTGATTTCAACTGATAAATTTTGGAGGCATTTTGAATAGAATAGTGTTCCCGGAGATCATCCCAAAGGGCCTTTGCTGTGGAGAAATAATGAATATAAGGTTTGAGAAGGGGATCAATAGTGTTGTGGATCCAGCTATTGATCATGGAATTACAAAGAGTCCAGGCATGGATTTCATCAGACACATCATTTGCAGGTTTGAGAATGGTGCCATCGATGAAATCTACTTTATTTTTGGCAAGAAGTGCATTCTTGATTGATTTGGCGCAGACGTCATAGTTAGCTTCTCCTTTCAATACCACATTGGTAAGAAACAAGCCAGGACTATCAGAGGTAGGCATGAAAAATGGAGAACGGGGATCAGAAGGTTTGAGGGTAGGTTCTGCATTGGGTTGTGTATTGGCAGCGGAAGAAGAATCAGTCATGATTAAGGAGGTTTGTGGATCAGAACCTTGTTTTTTTTTAAAAAAAAAACTGATACCATATAGAAAGCTATGAAAGGGGGTTGAATCAAATTGTATTGAGTGATGGCAGATTGCCAATATATACACGATATTGTTGTACCAGATAAGAAGCTATCAGCTAAATGAAATATTTGACTATACAGATAATCAAGCTAACAAGATATTATACCTAGAATTAAGCTAACAGCTAAACAACTATACAAAGGAACAACTAAACAACTATACAAAGGTGCTGAAGAATCGGTCTTAGTTTGTTGGAGGATAAGATCAAAGGTGATCTTATCCTGACAGTATGTAATATTTTTATTTATTTATTTATTTAGTTATTTTTTGTTTTACAATTGAAAACTTACTTAGAGTCTTGACGACAACCTCCAATACCCGGACACAGAGTCTTGACGGCAACCTCCAATACCCGGACACGCAAATTTTTAGAAAAAGGGCGTGTCGGACACGTGTCCGACACCGACACGCTTCCACACGTTCCGACACGTGGTTAACTCTCCGACACATTTTGACATTTTTTCCGACACGCATTTAACTTTTTCCGACACGTGATCAACACTCGGACACATTTTTTTTTTAGTCTTAATTTTATTTTATTAATAATAAAAAAAATCATTTATAAATCAATTTATTTCTGTTATAAAATTTGACACGAAAAATCAACGAGGTACGAAAAAATATTTTTGTTTATATTTATGTTATAATATTTGAATATTTAATTAGTTATATGACTTATTATTGACTATTATATGTATTAAATATAAATTATATTATATATATTAAAAATATTATTTAATATCAAACCGTATCCAACGTGTCTGTCGAAATATACCATTGTTTAGAAGTAACGTGTCGTGTCTCATGTCCCGTGTCACTCCGGTTTTTTTTTTTTTTTTATAGGAAAAACTAATTCGAAGTCGATCTCCTCAGATAAATGTTGTCTGTTCAATGAATGTTGGCAAAGTATGTAACCCTTTTACACATACGCAAGTGCAGACACAGATAAAAAAAACCCTTCTGCCTTAGGAAGACAACATTTCATAACCCTTAACAGTAATTGATCGTCGAAACAGTGTAACCACAAGAAATGAAGAAAATTCCTCTGATTCTAATGGGTTGTGGAGGAGTTGGTCGTCACCTTCTCCAACACATTGTCTCATGCCGTTCTCTTCATTCCACTCAGGTAATAGAATAATATAATATCCCTTTATGTTCACTGTCATGGATTCATACTTTTCAGATTCTATTTTTATTTTCCTCTTGTATGCTTCTGCTTCCCATCACTTACATCAAAACATTGCTTCAACTTCAAAGTTAAAACTTTGTCATGGGTTTTTGATAACGCATTTCCCCAATAAACAATTTTTTTGCTCCTGGGTTATTCTTTGGCTTTTCTTTGCTACTCTAAATGCATATAGCTATTGACCACTGTAGCTTTTATGATCCTTTTCAGACATTGATGGAAATTGGGTTCCTGAAATTTTTGAGTGTTTAGTTGGATGATGTTTTCTTTTATTTGTTTATTTAATTTTTGGTAGCAGGGACTCTTCTTGAGTGTTCTGGGAGTTGGTGATAGTAAGTCTTTGGTAGTTGCGGAGGATTTGATGAATAAGGGGTTGTCTGATAGCTTCTTGTTAGAACTTTGCCGGGTCAAGCACGGTGGCGAATCACTATCAAAACTTCATGATTTTGGTAGATATCTATGCCTGGTTTTCTTGTTGGTGATATGAATGTTTTTATGTTTTTAATCCTTACTTGTTAGTTGTTATTTTTAAAGGAGAATGCCGGGTATTTGTCCATCCGGAATCGCAAGGAAAGATGCTAGAGATTGCATCTCAACTTGGTAAAAAAACAGGTGTGTTGAATTTTTATCATGCCATGCTTTACTTGCTTACTGTGATTGAATTTAAAGAAAATCCAGAATAAGAGTAAACTTTCATGCATTCAATTGCTAAGACAGATGTTAACTCTGAGTTTTTTGGTTATAGGTTTGGCCTTTGTAGATTGCTCTGCTAGCTCTGACACTACTGTGGTGCTAAAACAAGTGGTTGATATGGGTTGTTGTGTTGTTATGGCAAATAAGAAACCTCTTACATCTACAATGGTAAGATCATCTTAAATGTTTCATAATAACTGTTGAAATGTGAGGGTAGAATATTTTTTAAGTCAAGAAAAACTGTTTATACTTCATTTTCCTTTATCCTCGCTTTGTAACCTGTGATACTCATGTAAACATAATAAGAAGGGAAAGTTCAGTTTACCCACTTAACGTTAGATTCATTTGCAATTTGGTCCTAAAACTAAAAAAGTGCAACGTGATCCATACACTTCCTAATGTGTGCGTTTTTGTCTTTCCGTCTGATTTTTTGTCAAACTCCAATTGAATTTGTGATTTTAAAACCACTTTTTTGAAGCTTCAGAACTAAGTTCAAATGACCTTCTGTAAAGTGGACTTTTCCAATCAAGAAATTTGGTACACAAAATGGTCATGTGATTTGAGTGTGACAATTTCCATTACAGTTTGATGGAAAATCAAATGGAAGGACGAAAACGCGCACGTTAGAAAGTTTAGGGATTGCATTGCATTCCTTTTAAGTTTCAGGACCAAACCGCACATAATAGTAAGTCTGAGAGAGTAATTTGGACTTTTCCCTAATAAGAGAGATTTGTTATAATTATTTCTTCCCCTTCTCTTTGCTTCTTTGTTCAAAAGTCCTGCTTGCCTCTGCTAAATAATAACTCTTATATGAAACAGGAGGATTTTAAAAAACTTTTCACGTACCCACGTCGAATTCGGCACGAGTCAACTGTAAGTAATATTGTTTCTTGCCTCAACTAGAGTATTACTGTATCATTGTATCATCATGTAATAGCAATGCATCATATGTGTCAGTATAGAAAATAGTTTTGAAAGTATAGATTTTCAACAAAGTGGAATATAAACAGCAACATTGTTGCTAGAGTTTCTTTAATTGGTTGTGCTTCTGACTTGTAACTCTGATCTCACAGAAACCAAATTATAGCCTGTGAAAGTTCTGTATGTCTTGTATGGATCCATAATCTTCAAGCAGTTGCTTTGCTAAATTTTTTCGAGCAATCTTTACCTTAACAAAGAAGGAAAATGAAATCCAGGGGAAAATTCAAAGCTCTATGGTCTGATTTGCCAGCAGTAGTTTGATCAACTCATCTAAAATTACGCGTTAAAGAAATTGGTATAATGTCATCTTCCCCAAGAAATAAGGAGGGAAAATAATGAATATGAGGTGTGTGCATGACTTATGATTATGAATATATAAAAGTATAGAAACTTTGAAATCCAAAATAGAAGGAAAAAGGACCTAACATGTGAATTTTAATTTAATATTGAAACGTATGAAAGAAATAATCTTATATTTTTTCTTTTTAATCATTTTAGAAATAATTTTAAAATTGCTTTTTTACTTTTATTAAATAATCTCTTTACAAAAATACAAGGGTAAGACTGTATACAATCGACTCTTACCTTTTCTCCCGCAAGTCGGGGAGTCTTGTGCATCGGGGTTTTCCCTTTGCTCTGTTATATTATAAATGAACCTAAATATGTCTTTTTTAAGTGTAAAAATATGTTACGCATTTTCTTAGAGTCATTATACATGTTCGTTTCTACCACCTGTTTGTTTCATCTTCTTTAGGTGCTTGTGTTGTTCTCACTTAAATGTAGAAAAATGAATGAGATTGATTCTCATCAAAACATTTACATGAGTCACACTATTTATAAAGACTAATGGGCCTTATGATTCGAAGGGAATAAACCCAAAAACTAATAAAATAATTTCAATTATTTACAAAATTCTCCCTCAAGCCGAGGAATGGAAATTTATCATCCCCAGTTTGCTAGTTAGTTCTTGAAATTTGTCTATGGGAAGCCCTTTAGTTTAAGACATCAGCTAGTTGACGACCTGAATGACTGAAATTAAAGACACAGGATTTTGAAATTTGGAAACTTTTGATGGAGAAATATTAGTTTTGCAGTTCTGTTAAAATACAAATTATTACATATATTTTGTTTGTTCTTTTAATCATTTTTATTATTGAAAGATCTGCATTTCATATGGTCTCTCTAGTTCATGATCTTAGTCATCTACTTGTTACACCACTTATAGATGTAGAAGAGACTGGCAGAATTGTAATACTATGTTAAGTTGATTAATCATAGATTTACTTTATCTGTGTTTACCTTCTTAGTTTCTTACTTTCTTACACAACTTCTGACGCAAAATTATGTTGTTATTGTTCAAGAATGATGTATATATGCTTTAATCAACTATATCCTAAGAATCAGTCAATTGTATACTTGCTTATTAAGTATTTATTACTCATACTCATCTTGATAGTGAAATGTGTTGTTAATGGGCTGTGTATATTTATTAGGTTGTCAAGTAATGGGAGTGAAATTCTGATAGGAATACCGAAGGGTATGATTTTATTGAATATCCACAAAGAAACTCCTCTAGTTACTGATTTCAGTGAGAAACCAGTAGCCAAGAAGCTATTACACCAGAAAGGAAAAACTCGGAAACAGAAAACAGAAGGAGAAAAAAATAACTGTTAGGCCTCTGTGTATACTAGAGCTGCATGGATGAGGTGATTAGGGGTGTTAGAAATAATATTAATTTATTATTAGAATAGTCTAGAATAGTCTAGATTGTGGGCTTGGCCCATTAGGTTATCCCATTAGGTCTTTTAGTCTCTATAAATAGAGAGCCTCCTTGTACAGACTCATATACTTGAATATACAATATATTTCAGATTCAATTTGGTATCAGAGCTCTCGATCTGAGGGCTCTGCTTCCGCATATATATCTTTCTCTTTCTTTTTACTGTCGTGCATCATACCGGCAACCATCCTTTCACACCTAACCCTTATTTAGTCACAAATTTCTTGTCCTCAACCTCGTATCATCAGAAAAAAGATCGTCAGCCTCCGTTCATCGCCGGAAACCGCCACAAAACCACCGTCCGCCACTGTTCACCGCCGTCAGACTGCTTTTCCGGCGACTTTTCCGACCAACCACCACGCGATCAGGAGCGGCTCAGGGAGGCGACCCTGTCTGTCCAAGACGCGTGTTGATCGGAGCATCCACGCGCCGCCACGCGTCGGTGGAAGTCTCCGGCGGCCGAGCCACTGTTCCGGCGCGTGAGCCACCGTTCCAGGCCGGACCACCACCATCTTGCTCGCCTCCTCACCCTCTTTCCAGATCTGGTCTCTGTTCGTTGTGGGTCCCATCCGTTTGAAAGATATCAGTGAAAAACCCGCTGTTTGGACACTTTTGTGCAACGTTTTTTGCGCGATTTCTTGCTTTCTTGTAGTTCTTTTCTATTTTCTGGTCATCTCTTTTTATTTTGTGATGGAGGGCTCAAATAATGCGTCCAAAAACACGACTGGCATCTTCTCCGGTACTACCCCATCTCCATTCTTTTCTCGGGCCAGTGATTCCAATTGGAACAGTGGACGCAGTCGCAGACGTGGCCGCAGACAGAGGCCTCATTGTAATTATTGCCAGAATCTTGGGCATTTTGAAGAACGCTGCTATAGGAAGTACCCTCATTTGAAGCCACCGACTGCCAACTTTGCTCAAACTGATGTTACGCCACCTTCAACTGGATTAGTAACTCTTTCAAGTGTCGACTATGAGGCACTTCTCAAGAAGGTTTCTTCTCAGCATCCTACTCAAGACACTGGTAATCATGTTGCTTGTTTTTATCAATCATCTCTTGGACCCTGGATAATAGACTCAGGTGCTACTCATCATCTTTGTGGTAATAGAGATCTCTTCACTTCACTTTCTTATTCTAATAACCTACCCCTTGTCACTCTTGCTGATGGCACTAAGGCTCCTGCTCGTGGAATTGGGGAAGCCAACCCAACTCCCCTTTTAACTTTGAGTTCTGTTTATTATATACCTGTCATTCCTTTTAATTTAATCTCTGTTAGCCAGTTGATTCATTCTCATTCATGTACTATTACCTTCTCTAAACAATCCTTTTCTATGCAGGATTCGGGTACGGGGAAGACGATTGGAGCAGGCGTTGAGTCACGAGGTCTCTACTATCTGATTGCACCACCTTCTCCAGTAGCATGTTCTCTCTCAGAGTCTCCTGAGCTAATTCACAGCCGTCTGGGTCATCCAAACCTCTCCAAGCTTCAGCATATGGTTCCCTTTTTATCCAATCTTAAGTCTTTAAACTGTCATTCTTGTCAGCAAGGAAAACACACTCGCTCCTCCTTTGCTAATAGAGTCAATAAAAGAGCTGATGCTCCTTTTTCTATTGTTCATTCTGATATTTGGGGTCCGAGTCGAACAACGTCTGTTTTGGGTTTTCAGTATTTTGTCACCTTTATTGATGATTTCTCCCGTTGCACTTGGGTTTATTTAATGAAAAATCGTTCTGAGTTTATTTTCAATTTATCAAAAGTTTTGTGCAGAAATAAAAACTCAATTTGGTGCTTCTATTCAAATCTTGCGCAGTGATAATGCAAAAGAGTATGTGTCTCTTGAATTTTCTAAATTTCTGGATACACAAGGGACGATACATCAGACTACCTGTCCCCACACTCCACAACAAAATGGAGTCGCTGAACGTAAAAATAGACATCTAGTTGAAACTGCACGTACCCTTCTCATTCATATGAACGTCCCACTCCGTTTTTGGGCAGATGCTATTATCACCTCATGTTTCCTTATCAACTGCATGCCCTCTTCTGTGCTAAATAATGATGTTCCCCACAGTATTTTGTTTTCCGGAGCACCTTCTTATCCTCTGCCTTTACATATTTTTGGCTGTACTTGTTTTGTTCATGATCTTTCTCCAGGTAAAGACAAGTTGACATCCAAGGCCTTCAAATGTATTTTCCTTGGGTATACACGTTTTCAAAAAGGGTATCGTTGCTATTCTCCTGATCTCAAGCGTTATATCGTTTCTGCTGATGTCACTTTCCTTGATCAGCAGCCTTTTCACTCTACTCCGTCTCCAGTGTCCCAAGTTGATCAGGTCCTTCCTGTTCCTTTTCTTGATTTGTCTTTACCAGCTGCAGGTGACCCTATTCCAGAGGAGCAACCAATAACCTCCATACCTGCAGATCGTCCTCTCCTCACATACCAGCGTCGTCAGCCTGCACCTCCTCCGACTTTGCCTCTTGATGACTCATCGCCCCTTCCCGTCGGCTCTTCTCCTCCGGATCCTCCATCAGAGACTCCTCCCATTGCCTTTCGAAAAGGTATTCGATCCACTCGAAATCCTCGTCCCCTTTATTCTTTCTTGAGTTATGACAGACTTTCTTCACAACATTTTACTTTTGTTTCTAGTCTCTCTTCTGTTTCCATCCCTAAAACCACAGGTAAAGCACTATCTCATCCAGGGTGGCGCCAGGCGATGCTTGATGAAATGCAGGCACTTCACTCCAATGGCACTTGGGATCTTGTTCGTGCTCCTCCCGGGAAGTCTGTTGTTGGTTGTCGATGGGTGTTAACAGTTAAAGTTGGTCCTGATGGCACTGTTGATCGCCTTAAAGCTCGCTTAGTGGCCAAGGGATACACACAGATCTTTGGTCTTGATTATGGGGATACCTTTTCTCCTGTTGCTAAGATGGCTTCTGTTCGCCTGTTTCTTGCCCTTGCCGCCATTCATCACTGGCCCTTTCTCCAACTTGATATTAAGAATGCTTTTCTACATGGTGACTTGCAGGAGGAAGTTTATATGGAGCAACCACCAGGTTTTGTTGCTCAGGGGGAGAGTTCTGGAATGATATGTAAACTTCGGAAATCTTTATATGGCCTGAAGCAATCTCCTCGGGCCTGGTTTAGCCGTTTTAGTTCAGTTGTTGAATCCTTTGGATTAATCAGAAGCAAAGCCGATCATTCTGTCTTTTACCGGCATAACTCTTCTGGCCAGTGCGTTTATCTCCTGGTCTATGTCGATGACATTATCATTACAGGCAGTGATCAGACCGGGATTGATCAGTTGAAAGAGCATTTATTCAATCAATTTCAGACCAAAGATCTTGGCAGACTTCGATATTTCTTGGGGATCGAAGTTGCACAGTCTAGGCGGGGCATTTCCATCTGTTAGAGGAAGTATGCACTGGATATCCTAGATGAGACTGGCATGTTAGGTTGTAAACCCATTGATACACCTATGGACCCCAATGTTAAGTTATTACCAGGACAGGGGGAGCCACTGCCAGATCGTAGTCGCTACCGCCGACTAGTTGGAAAATTGAATTATCTTACTGTGACAAGGCCAGATATCTCCTTCGCAGTGAGTGTTGCAAGTCAATTTCTTGATTCTCCTTGTGACTCCCATTGGGATGCAGTTATTAGAATTCTCTGATATATTAAAAAGGCGCCAGGAAGAGGTTTATTATATACAAATAAAGGGAGTTCAGAGATCTCTAGTTACAGATGCTGACTGGGCAGGTTCTCCTTCAGATAGACGATCCACCTCAGGGTATTGTGTTCTCTTCGGAGGAAATTTGATCTCTTGGAAGAGTAAGAAGCAAACTGTGGTCGCCAGATCCAGTGCGGAGGCAGAATATCGGGCAATGGCAAATGCAACCTGTGAGCTCATCTGGCTGAGTCAATTGCTGAAGGAACTCCATCTCTGTGAACAAAGGCCTATGAAGCTCATTTGTGATAACCAAGCCGCTTTGCATATATCCTCTAACCCAGTCTTTCATGAGAGGACCAAGCATATAGAAATTGACTGTCATTTTGTTAGAGAAAAGATCCAGTCAAGAGAGATCGAGACAGCATTTGTCAATTCCAATGATCAACTTGCAGATGTATTCACTAAAGCTCTTAGAGGTCCCCGAATAGATCATATTTGTAACAAGCTGGGAGCTTTTGATATATACGCACCAGCTTGAGGGGGAGTGTTAGAAATAATATTAATTTATTATTAGAATAGTCTAGAATAGTCTAGATTGTGGGCTTGGCCCATTAGGTCATCCCATTAGGTCTTTTAGTCTCTATAAATAGAGAGCCTTCTTGTACAGACTCATATACTTGAATATACAATATATTTCAGATTCAATTAGGGGTAAGATGGGAATTTAAGTTGTAACTACCCTGCACAATTGTCAGGTTCGAGTGAGGAAGGTAGGAAGTGAGGTGGGAAATCTGTTAAGGGAAAAAATAAGAAGGCGGTGAGGAGGAGAGGGAGAATTAGGCAGTTACTCAGTAAGGATTTGGGGCCTTATGGCAGGGTAAGCAGACCCTTGAAGTCCTGCAGTATTTCTATTTTGATTTTCAGCTTTTCAGTGTAATGAAGGGGGATTTTTCCTATTGTAAGAAGTTATACTCCGTTTTTTTTCACTAAAAGCAGTTCCTATTAATAACACAGTTCATTCTGAGATACCTGTAACCTTCCAAGCAGTCCGCACTCAAAATCTTTTTTCCCTTTTCCTCACTCCTTTCCTTCCCTGTTAACCGTTTCTCTAACAGATTCCACTTCCTGCCCTTACCTGCCACTTGCATGGGTTGTTACAAACCCATTCTCTTACTCATGCTCTCCTTAATGCATGAGTGTGCAATGCCCTGCGGCTCCTCTATTTATCTGTGTGGTACATCTTAGTTATGGGAGGGTGCCTATGAAATTATTATTTGAATTGGGGAATATTGAAATGTCAATTCGAGGAGCTATTACTGATCTGGTTGTGATATTTTTAAAGGTAGGAGCTGGTCTTCCTGTGATAGCATCCCTTAATCGCATAATCTCTTCTGGTGATCCTGTTCATCGCATTATTGGGAGTTTGAGTGGTATATTATCTTTCATGGTCCTATGATTATGTTCTCTGGATATTACTTTGTTGGTGTTTGATCATACATTCTTAATAGGAAGTCTTCCACGTATTGGTTTTTTTAATATTGTATTTTATGCTGCATGCTCTTACTAGGGACATTGGGGTATGTAATGAGTGAGGTTGAAGATGGAAAGCCGCTGAGCCAAGTTGTTAGGTCTGCCAAAAGTCTGGGGTACACTGAACCAGGTTAGTGACTACTACGTTTGAAATTGTATTCTTGATATGTAAAGCTTATTGATCTGTATAATTTCTATATGTAAAAATTGACATGTCTGTCAATTAGAAGATGTGTTTTTTAGTTCTTCCTGTTCCATGAACACTTGCACATATTTGTTCTTCAGAGCTATGACAATCGTGTGCATTGCTTAGAGTTGATAAATGACTTTGTCTTCTTGGAGGAATTATTCTCTCATTGAATTTGAAACAATTTTGATTGTCCTATAACAACCTCCATTAACATCAATCACTTATCTCCCACTGGTGAACAGCATCTCTCTACCAGTTGCTGGCTATTGGCAGCATCCTCTCTCTTGCTGTTCATCTAAAATCATTTGTTGATGTCAAATGGTATCTCCCGTTTATTGTCTGCTGAGTTAATTGTATTGTTGTTCAAAATTAGTTATGTTGAATGTCTATTCTAACTTATACACACCAAGCATGACTATTTTTGTTTCTTAGAGAATGTTCCCTTTGATGTTATGATTAATGAACAATTGGAGCATGTAAATAAAATAAAATTTGGTCAGTTTACTAAGGCTGAAATATATTTCAGATGGGAATCTAATTTTGGTAAATTATTAGGACCATTACCAATTTATGTGACAGCTGTTGCTCCACCTCATTGCAGATTCTTGAGATGACATATAATAACAATCGTAACTGGTTATTATTGTTAGTGTGTCTTAGAATATATTAGAATATGCTAGCATATCTTCAAAGTATAGTTGCAATATCTGGGAATATCTTCAGAATAAATTGTGGAATCATTAAACATCTAATGGAGGAAGCAATCTTAGGAGTTGCTCCCTATTTATTATGTTTAATTATTTGTTTATTTATTTAATTAGGATTAGTTGTCTTGTTGTATTCGTTGGCTTCGGCTTGTACTAGTAGCACTACTCTAGTGCTTGACCAAATTAAGAGTGGGTCAGTATTTTGTATCACGTTATCAACACTCCATATCATTCTAATATTTTATTATTTAGAGACAAGTTAGTTACAAGTTAGTTAAGTAGGGTATCAATAGTTAGTTAGAACAGTTAATTAGTTAGAGAGGTTGGAAGGATAGGGATTTAGCTTAAATAAGAGGAGGGGTAGAAGGGAGGAAGGAGAGTTGTTATTATTAGCATTGAGAAAACAGAGAAATGGCTCAGTTGTAAAGAGAAACCCTTGGAGGAGATTTCTCTCCTTTTCTGTTTGATATTCAATAACCAATAAAGATCTGTTCTTTTTCTATCTTTCATACGATTTCTCTATTTTTATTTGTTGTTTCATATCATATTTTGAGTCTTATCCTCTCTTTTACTTCTTCCCTACCTAAATCCTATAATTCCAACATTTCAATTCAATGACATATTTTTCTTTTAAAACCATTCTATTTGAATGAGCTATTGACATTACGAAATAGATTCTTAGGTATGGTATTGACATGCCGTCATTAATTTGTTTTGCTCATTGCCTCTTGGGCTCCATTTGCTAATTGCTATACGGTTAGTTTGTTATAAGTTACCTTTGATGTTGCAGATCCGCGTGATGACCTTGGTGGAATGGATGTCGCTAGAAAGGTTCAATGTGGTTTGTTTTACTTCTGTGAAGTTTAGTTTTGTAGCTGTTTCTGCTCCATCTAAAAGCTCACAATGTCTTGTAATCAGCATAACATGCTTTTCTGGTCTGATAGGGCTTTGAATAAGTGTACACACTGTACATTACTGAAGCATAAACTTGAATGATTCCCATTTTGATAATATGCGTATCAGCTTACTCTTGTAGAAAGAAATCTAAATTTACTTGAAAGTATGAATGTGTTGTATTCTATTGTGTATAAAAATGTACAAGAGTCCTCTATTTAAAGAGGTTAAATGACCTAATGGGCTAAGCCCAAATAACCTTCTAGAATAATAGACTAATAATAATAAAACTAATATTATTTCTAACACTCCCCCTCAAGCTGGTGCGTATATATCATAAGCACCCAGCTTGTTACATATATGATCTATTCGGGGACCTCCAAGAGCCTTGGTGAAAACATCTGCAAGTTGATCACTGGAATTGACAAATGCTGTCTCGATCTCGCCTGACTAAATCTTCTCTCTAACAAAGTGACAGTCAATTTCTATATATTTAGTCCTCTCATGAAAGACTGGGTTCGAGAATATGTGCAATGCGGCTTGATTGTCACAAATGAGTTTCATGGGCCGTTGTTCACAGAGATGTAATTCCTTAAGCAATTGTTTTAGCCAGATGAGCTCACAGGTTGCATTTTCCATTGCCCGATATTCTGCCTCTGCACTTGATATGGCAACCACAGTTTGCTTCTTACTCTTCCAAGAGATCAAATTTCCTCCGAGGAGAACACAATACCCCGAGGTGGATCGTCTATCTGAAGGAGAACCTGCCCAGTCAGCATCTGAATAGCTAGACACTTCTGCATTCCCCTTATTAGTGTATAATAAACCTCTTCCTGGTGCCTTTTTGATATATCGAAGAGTCTTGATAACTGCATCCCAATGAGAGTCACAAGGAGAGTCAAGGAATTGACTTGCCACACTAACTGAAAAAGAGATGTCTAGTCTTGTCACAGTAAGATAGTTCAACTTTCCAACTAGTCGGCGGTAACGACCAGGGTCTGCCAATGGCTCCCCCTGTCCAGGTAATAACTTAATATTAGGATCCATAGGTGTATCAGTGGGTTTACATCCCAACATACCAGTCTCATCTAAGATATCCAGTGCATACTTCCTCTGACAAATAGAAATGCCCTGCCTAGATTGTGCTACTTCGATTCCTAAGAAATATCGAAGTCTGCCAAGATCTTTGGTCTGAAACTGATTGAATACGTACTTCTTTAACTGATCGATCCCAGCTTGATCGCTGCCAGTAATAATGATGTCATCAACATAGACTAGGAGATAGATGCACTGGCCAGAAGAGCTATGCCGATAGAAGACAAAATGATCTGCTTTACTTCGGGTTAAACCGAAGGATTGAACAACGGAACTGAAGCAACTAAACCAGGCCCGAGGAGACTGCTTCAGGCCATATAAAGATTTACGAAGCTTGCATACCATGCCAGAACTCTCCCCCTGAGCAACAAAACCTGGTGGTTGCTCCATATATACTTCCTCCTGCAAGTCACCATGTAAGAAGGCATTTTTGATATCAAGCTGAAGAAGGGGCCAGTGATGAATGGCAGCAAGTGCAAGAAACAGACGAACAGAGGCTATCTTGGCAACAGGAGAAAAAGTATCCCCATAGTCAAGACCAAAAATCTGAGTGTATCCTTTAGCCACTAATCGAGCTTTGAGGCGATCAATAATGCCATCAGGACCAATTTGACTGTGAGTACCCATCGACAACCGGCAATCGACTTCTCAGGAGGAGCACGAACAAGATCCCATGTGCCATTGGAGTGAAGTGCTTGCATTTAATCAATCATCGTCTGACACCAACCTGGATGAGAAAGTGCTTCACCTGTGGTTTTAGGAGTGGAAATAGACGAAATACTAGAAACAAAAGTAAAATGTGGTGAAGAAAGTTTATCATAACTCAAGAAACTGTAAAGTGGATGAGGGTTGCGAGTGGATCGAATACCTTTACGAAGAGCAATGGGAGTAATCTCTGATGGAGGATCCAGAGGGGAAGAGTCGACAGGAGAAGGTGATGAGTCAACAAGGGTGAAGTCCGCAGGAGGCGCAGTCTGACGACGTTGATAGGTGAGAAAAGGGCGGTTCTCTGGGATGGAGGCAAGAGGTTGCTCCTCTGGGATAGAGTCACCTGCAGCTGGTAAAGATAAGTCAAGAAAAGGAACAGGAAGAACCTGATCAACCTGTGATATCTGAGACGGGATAGAATGAAAAGGTTGTTGATCAAGAAAAGTGACATCAGCAGAGACAATATAACGCTTGAGGTCAGGAGAATAACAGCGATACCCTTTTTGAAAACGAGTATATCCCAGAAAAATACACTTGAAGGCTTTGGATGTTAATTTGTCTTTTCCTGGAGTAAGATCGTGAACAAAACAAGTACATCCAAATATATGTGGAGGTAGAGGATAGGAATGTGCTCCTGGAAATAATACACTATGTGGAACTTCATTATTTAGCACAGAAGAAGGCATGTGATTGATGAGAAAGCAAGAGGTGATAATAGCATCTGCCCAAAAACGGAGTGGAACATTCATATGAATTAGAAGGGTACGTGCAGTGTCAACCAGATGTCTATTTTTACGTTCAACCACTCCATTCTGTTGTGGAGTGTGTGGACAGGTGGTCTGGTGTATCGTTCCATGTTTTTCCAAAAAATTAGAAAAAATCAAGAGACACATACTCTTTTGCATTATCACTACGCAATATCTTAATAGAAGCACCAAATTGAGTATTTATTTTAGCACAATTTTTTTGATTAAATTGAAAATAATTCAGAACGATTTTTCATCAAATAAACCCAAGTACAACGAGAGAAATTATCAATAAAGGTTACAAAATACTGAAAACCCAAAACAGATAAAAGTTCGATTTGGACCTCAAATATCAGAATGAACAATAGAAAAAGGAGCATCAGCTCTTTTATTGACTCTATTAGCAAAGGAGGAGCGAGTGTGCTTTCCTTGCTGACAAGACTGACAGTTTAAAGACTTAAGACTGAATAAAAAAGGAACCATATGTTGAAGCTTGGGAAGACTTGGATGACCTAGACGACTGTGGATTAATTCAGGAGACTCTGTGAGAGAGCACGCCACTGGAGAAGGTGGTGCAGTCAGATAGTAGAGACCTCGTGACTCATTGCCCGCTCCAATCGTCTTCCCCGTACCCGGATCCTGCATAGAAAAAGATTGTTTAGAGAAGGTAATAGTGCATGAAAGAGAATGAATCAGCTGGCTAACAGAGATTAAATTGAAGGGAATGCCAGGTATATAATAAACAGAGGTAAAAGTCAAAAAGGGAGTTGGGTTGGCTTGCCCAATTCCACGACCAGGGGCCTTAGTGCCATCAGCAAGAGTAACAGAAGGTAGATTATTAGAATAAGAAAGTGAAGTAAAGAGATCCTTATTACCACAAAGTTGATTAATAGCACTTGAGTCTATTATCCAAGGTCCAAGAGATGATTGAGAAAGACAAGCAACATGATTACCAGTGTCTTGAGGAAGAGGCTGAGAAGAAACCTTCTTGAGAAGTACCTCATAGTCAGCATTCGAAAGAGTTACTGATCCAGTAGAAGGTGATGTAACATCAGTCTGAGCAAAGTTGGCAATTGGTGGCTTCAAGTGAGGGTACTTCCTATAGCAACGTTCTTCATAATGTCCAAGGTTTTGACAATAATTGCAACGAGGCCTCTGTCCGCGACCACCCTGTCCACGGTCTCGACCGCGACCGCGTCCACTATTCCAATTGGAATCATTGGCACGAGAAACAAACGCAGTTGAATTAGTGGCTGGCACATGTGTGGGTGCTGCGGATTTATCCTTGAGATTCAGAAGGCGCTAGAAAGTTTGTGACAGGCTAGGAGTCTCAGCACTGGTTAGAATATTTTCACGAACACTTTCTAATTCCTCTGAAAGTCCGGAAAGGGTTACGACCGTAAAGAAGCGCTCCACCTGCTTCTTGTACGCAAAAGCATCTGTAACATGAGGTAACATAGCTAAGAATTCCTGTATTAAAGAACGAATCTTACCAATATAAGTCTCCATTCGAGCATCTGGTGATTTGCGCAAGTCCATTATCTGAGAAACAATGGAATAAAGCTGCTGAATATCATTGGTGTAGAGATTTTTGGCTTCCTCCCATACGTCATAGCAGGTCTCAAAGGGGACAAAAATGTCTATAACTGCCGGATCAATGGATTGCCAAAGGATACTCAGTAGTTGAGCATCAATCTTTTCCCATTAATGAATATGATCCTTTGGAATATCAGCAGATTTTGTCGTGAGATGTTTACCGTGTCCCTGACCTGTAAACCAGATCTTAACGGAGGAGACCAGGTCTTGTAAGTAACAGATCTGGTTAGTTTCATCGTTGTTTCCGGCGATGAACGGAGGCTGACGATGTTTTTCCTGATGATACGAGGTTCAACATCAACATCAACATCAACATCAACAACACCTTTATCCCAAATTAATTGGGGTCGGTGGCTGATGATACGAGGTTGAGGACAAAAAATTGGTGACTAAATAAGGGTTAGGTGTGAAAGGAAGGTTGCCGGAATGATGCACGGCACGATATGCGGAAGCATGGTTTCCCAGAACACAAGCTCTGATACCAACTTGAAAGTATGAATGTATTGTATTCTATTGTGTATAAAACTGTACAAGAGTCCTCTATTTAAAGAGATTAAATGACCTAATGGGCTAAGCTCAAATAACCTTCTAGAATAATAGACTAATAATAATAAAACTAATATTATTTCTAACAAATTTCATTGGCCAAAGTTAACAAAATTCATGCATGTCCATTTGATGATTTTGATCATGAAAAATGTTACGTGCTATTGGAAGAAGTTATGGTGTCTTCACCTTGTGTGATTAGTGGAGTATGAGTTTACATTTTTGAAGTTGCGATATTGGATATAATCAACTTTTAAGTTGACCACTTCTTATCTAGGACCTTCAGTACTATTTTTGAATAAAGTTGGTTGTGTATTATTATGAATAGCAACTTAAAATGTGCCATACTAACTTTCTGCTTTTGGGACCAATATTAAAACAGGCTTTAATTCTTGCTCGAATACTTGGTCATCAGATTAATCTGGATAGCATTCAGGTTTGTCTGGCGTTTGTCATATTCTACTTCCCCACCCCTCCTTTTCTACATTTGGGCCAAAAAAAATTTCCCCTATGCTATGTTTATAAATTTATATGCATTTTACAGATTGAGAGCTTGTATCCCGAAGAAATGGGGCCCGATGTAATGACTGTTGAAGACTTCCTAGGCCGTGGTCTCTTGCTGCTAGATAAAGATATTCAAGAGAGAGTTGAGAAGGCAGCTTCAAATGGAAATGTGCTGCGCTATGTCTGCATAATTGAGGGCTCAAGGCATCTTCTTTTCGCTCCAGCTGTGTTTTCAATCTAGCATTGGTGTTACACATCTGAACATATGTTTTCTCCTTGTTCATTTTCAATTTAATCTTTGTATTTGATTTGGGGTTTAATGTTTAAAATTATTAATATTCAACATTATGATTTTTTAATATTAGTTATAACTTTTTTCTCTTCTTAGGTGTGAAGTTGGTATTCAAGAGCTTCCTAAGAATTCTCCCCTAGGAAGGCTAAGAGGAAGTGATAATGTGGTTAGCTTCTTGTATTTTCTCATTGTTGGTGTTATGCATTTTTAATTAGGATTTTTTTCCATTTTAGAGGCTACCTGGTACAATAAACTTTCATCATGTGTTTCTTTTGCTTTGCTATATTGTAAAAGTTCAGCTTTACTAACCAATAAAACTTGAAAGGCTTGACCATTTTGTATGTTGATGCAAATGGCAGTTGGAAATATACACTCGATGCTATAGCGACCAACCGCTAGTTATTCAAGGTGCTGGAGCTGGAAATGACACTACTGCAGCCGGTGTCCTTGCTGATATTGTGGATATTCAGGATTTGTTTCCTTGAGGGGTAAGTTTTTTGTGCCTTGAATTTAAAGAAAGTTAAAAGTACAGTTGCTAGGTATCTTGCCATGGAATGTAGCTGATGTGCTTTTAAATTGTAGGTGTCCATATTTCTCCCTACTTGTTTATGCAGCGCTGCATACATTTCAAGTGAAAATCTGAAGTTGATGGTGAGTGGATCTTACCTGCAGACTTCAGGTGGATGAATATTACTAGATTACTTGAGATACATCCTTTCCCACTCAAAGACATTCTAATGTCTGTTTTCTTGGGATCTGTTTATCTGTTGATAATATGTCAAAATGTGGGAGGGAGGGATCTGGTTAAATCTAATAACAAGAGCTATTTCTGGATGAAGTAGAGATGGTGTGGATTAAATGAATGATCACAAGATGTTCTAAGGGGTGTTTTGGTACTTTCAGAATTTTGAACCTAGTTGATGGCGTTCATTTAAGTTAAATGCACTTTGAACTGATCTAGCCTGAAAGGAAACGTTCTTGCAAAAGAAAGGGTATAATTTTTTCACTTTTTAAGTGAAGTATGATTTTTCCCGCTTAATGGATAACCGTTTGCTACCCTTGTTATTTGGAGGTCATATCTAGTATTCAGAGTTTGCCTCGATTTGGTACTGCTCTCGCGGCCCGCACTGAAACAGTGCTTTACCGCTAGATGTCCAGTCACGTTCTAAACCCAGCTCACGTACCGCTTTAATGGGCGAATAGCCCAACCCTGAAGTAACCCATGCCATACTCTCAGGAAAAGCTTGAATGACCTTCAACAAAAGGGTACCTGTACCCGAAACTGACACAGGTGGGTAGGTAGAGAATACCTAGTCTCGGAGAGAGGCTCGGTGAAATAGACATGTCTGTGAAGATGCGGACTACCTCCACCCGGACAGAAAGACCCTATGAAGCTTCACTGTTCCCTGGGATTGGCTTTGGGCTTTTCCTGCGCAGCTTAGCCTGAAAGAGGAAACATTTTTATTCTTGCTTTTGCTTGATATGGATGTAGACAGAGGTAGGAAAGTCTCAGTTATTGAACATTTGCTGCTTCTTGTCATGCAAGAAAAATCTAACCACGGGTAAGAGGTGACACATTTGATATGATAACAAGTGCAAATAAGGTTTTTAAACAAAGTTACAAGAAACTTTACTTGTCAATAACCTACCAAAGCTTAAAGAGATTAATCATTCGATCATGTATTCATGTCTAAGTCATACAAGTCATCAAACCAATTTAAATTTGAAAAACAGCTACACGAAGTTACTCGCTTCATTGGTGAAAACATGTATAGTTATCCACTATCTAGACATTTGTTATGGACCAGTTGCACGTCCCAGTGATTGACCCGAAACTCGGCTCATGAACATGGTCATACAGCTTGGCACTTGTAAAATTATGTGCGTCGCTTGATTCATAGCATTGCGACAATGTATGAACTTGTGCAAAAGCAAGACTTTTTCAATACACTACATGTTGAGAAATACAATTGCTGCCTACATATAATTTAGTAGTGTCTTCAACCTACCTACAAATACACAGCTTTTGCCCTCGGGTAGGCACCTTCCTCTACGCAAATTATACCTCACTTGGATTTGGATCCTCTCATGTGAAAAAGTGATCATATAGTCATGTTATTTGATCACAACTATTTAAAAATCATACACTTTTTTCTTTCTTATCTCATTATCAATGAGTGGTTGTGATCAAATAATATGATCACATAATTACTTTTCCATAAGATAATCCAAATCCGCGTTGGAGTCCTTGCATATGCACACCATCCCTCCTTCGTTGGCGCTATGATGCTCCCTACCATACAAATGTCCAACAACAATGGAAAGAAATAGTCTGAGGCAACTTGTTGCCCAAGTAAATCTGCCCTATACTAGGGACAATATAGTAATTCTGGCCACCCTCCAATGAAAAAGACCATTGAAGTTGAGCCAAATGTCACACTCCATTTTCTACAGAGACAAGATATCGTGCATCCATCTTTGTCTAGTTCATTGCATTCGACCAGAATAATAGCTCATTAAAATCAAATAGGCTAATCGTTACTCAATTCTCCACTAATCCAAGTCGACATTTCATCAAAATTCATTTGAATTTCTTTTGATAATTTATTTCATCTTTTTCTTTTCGGTATATTAAAGAAGTAGACTTCGCAAGTGCTTGACCATGGACCTACTCCCCACAAAAGTTCTTGCGGATTCAAATTTCTTATTGTGTCCCCAATCCACACATTAAAATAATTATAAATAAACATGGGGCAAAATAAACTTACACTGGTGTAACAATAATAAGTCTTACACCCTAAAATATTTATTTATACAAAGGAAATATGATACAAACTCATTTTTAAATATTTAAACACGAAGGAGCTTTCACATACACACTCGTTCATGATCCTTACAATTAACTAAAGCCTCTATTTATCGACATAAAGTGAGGCTTCCGGACTTGAATCATAACAACTAATATTTTCTTTTCTGAGTCGGATGCCCATTGTGACATCAGTTTTAAAAGAAATACTCTTTTATAGTACAAGACAATAAATCCAAATAATAAGTATCTAATACAAACATAAGAACTACCCTTGTCCACACTAATAATTTACTTTGCTTGCCACTAAAGATAAGGTTTTCTTCCGCCTACACTATTAAGGATGCTTGAAGATAACATTCTCCTGACACATATCTTTACTATTCTGCTGTCAAAGATGACTGAAGATAAGATTTTGCTATTAAAGATGTCTGGAGATAAGATTCTCTAACAAACTATGTTGGCTAGGAAATCTGATCCTATACCTATCATCTGTAGTATGCCTTCCAATTGTATCTAAAGAATCTCAAGAAACTAGGGTATATATATCTTCATCTTCTTTCTCTTCTTGCTCTTTTAACAACTGGCGTATTTCTTTTTGATAATCTAATATTTCTGCTAACTTGGTCTTGAGCACATTTACTGTTATAGTTTCTTCTTGGCTTTTTAGCAAAGCCTCAGTTGTCAACGGATTTGTCTGGTCAACTACATACATCGTTTAAACCTGTACAGGCATAAAACCTGATTCTATGCTAGCTTCTTTATTTCTTAGAAGGGAGCAAGTACTTGTGTCACCCGTTTTTTAGGCTGGGAAACTTGAGATTCCTGTTGTAATTGACTTAATTCTTGCTGTAATGAAAAAAACTGTTAAAGAAGCCCCCTATCTCTCTCTCTCTCTCTCTCTTCATTAAGGTTTCTAACTATTTTGACCAAGACTTAACAATGATCACAGAAAAAGATTTTTGACTGGCTACTTGAGGCTTTATTATATGACAAAGGTTCTGAGAAATATCTAAGGGATGGATGAATATGAAAATATAGGACCAATAAATGATCTTGCAGCTGAACATGCTTCTTCTAGTGAATTAAAATCTTTATACTTTGGATTTTTGAAATTTCTAGTTGATTCTACAACCTCTATCTATGAATTGAAGAGCCCTGGGAAGTTATCTTCAAATACTACATAAAATCGAAATCTTTCTTGTTTTTTGTTAGAATTATAGGCTAATGCATTCATACTTGCTATAAAACGTTTTCCATCTTTAGGTTCTTTATTATAGGAGATCCACAGGTTATCTAAAATGCATTTTTGTTCTTGAGAAAAGGTTTGTCTTGGTAGAGGTCTAAAAGATATATTTGAATTTGGAAATATCTGTAGATTAACATTACCGAAGTTTAAACTATTTGGGAACTAAACTACAGATTTCTGATGTAAATTTTGTTCTATTGATCTTCGATAGAGATTATGTTCTAAGATACACTGCTGTTGTTCTTGGTTAAATACAAATTGGGTGGAAACCAATGGTTAAGATTAGTTGTAAGACTTATTATTCTTATGTCGGTGTAAGTTGATCCTATCCCAATAAATATTTGTATCAGCAATAAATAAAATTAGGGAGAGTAACATACCTAAAATTATTTGCAATAAAAAAGAATACATAGAAGACAACTGATGCCACGACCCAAATTTTAGTCATGACCAGTGCACAGACTACCATCAAATAGCCTAACAAGCCTAACTATCTCAGTGTTATATTTAACAAAAATAACTCAAATCACATTATACATATAAGGTTTATCAAGTTTACAACACAACCTGCTTGTAGAAATAATGAAAAGCCTCTAGAACATAATAAACGTTCAAAGTATATAATAACAATTTATAATTTACTTCAGCCTATATGAATAAAGTGTCAGGCTTACTATTTGAAAGCAATAAGACTTGCTAGGTCAAATTGGATGAGAGAACTCAAATGCTATATCCTTGCCTTTATCTGAAAATATATAACCACGATTTGGGTGAGTTGCAATGCAACCTTTGAGCAAATAACGAGAGCTATAAAGAGCAGGACTTCGCAACATATAAAATTAAATTTAATTCAAACTAAAAGGATGAAAAAAAATGTCAAGCTATATCACTCAGTTTATATGAACAAAAATAAATCAATATTTTACTATATTACCCCTGGTTCCTCGCCTTTAAATATAATCATAACAATGTCAAGTTCTTTGCCTGCATTAAATCAAAAATAGGCTCCCCACCGTTACACAAGTCGTAGTTCACCAAAGCTAACATCTATTGTTGTTACCATACAATGTTTTGATTAAGTCACACCCGAAAATCAATTTCAAAATCATAGAACATTATATCAGTAATTACCTATGTAGTAAGTGTTGAATTGGTCAACTATAACTTAAGTCACTTAAAAACCTAATCACTTAGATATTTTCTCTATTTCTCTTCATCTTTCTCATTGGAGAATAGCCCCAAAACCGTGAGCAATTGATATAAAGCTACAAAACCTAGTTTGAGTTCTAGTCAATGTAATTAAGAAGTTCCAAAACCAAAAGTGCTTAGATTCTTTCCAAGAACAAACCCTAACAAACATTTTCCATAGAGGAGCCTTGTGGAGAGAGATCCGTCCTCTCAATGCTTGAGGATATTCTTGGATTTTGAGCTTTTGGAGGGTGTTAGAGCTCATTGAAGCTTGGAAAATCCTTTTCTGTTCAACCTAAAAGGATTTATGGTAAGTAAACACAACTCATTATAAGTTTTCATGAAGATTTGACAAATCTAGGTTCTTGAAGAATAGTAACTCGTGAATAATAATTTTGGGTCTTTGGATGGATTTTGATCATGTGTTGTTTCTGTTAGTATGTAGGTATCCTAGAGATAATTTGAGAGTCAGATGGACCTATGTACTCCTTTATTGTTATGAATAAACTTATGAATAAAAGCATTCTTTATCTTGTTACATATTGTATGTCTCAAATATTATATGTTTATATTGAATGAGTAACCGGATAAAGCCCTTTGAATGAAACAAGTGTCACATTGAGGATCTGTGATAGGGATCACGATCATAAGGGCTCAATGACACCAACTTTCATTTCCAGAAATAT